TGCACTCCCCCAGAAAATCTGCAGAAAGCCGTTGATGAGGATACAACAATGTCAGGTGTCCTTGTAGTGTGTAATTAATGAATTCTGGAAAGTTTTGGATCTGGATCTTTAAATGAGGAGCTGAGTGAAAATAAGTTGGGTCTCAGAGGACCAAGAGTTGTGTAAAAGTCGTGAATTTCACGACACGGCCAGTAAATTTCACAAGTCTGTCTCTTTTACACTTGCACAGGTTGATGCTTTGCTGGTTAGGGCGCTGGGGAAATGCAGGGATTTAGCTGAAACATCAGGATTTATATGTTAGGTTCACTGACCAGAGCATTAAAGTAAAGACAGTGAAATATGTGAAATTCTGTTTTGTGTGCAGTAGTTAAAAAAACATGAAAAAAAGTGTTTTGTGCAATGTCTCAAGAATACATGCACCTTTAATAAAGCTATTTCCATTTCCATTGTACTCTACACACTGTAAGATTACAGCTAGTCATTATCTCATCTCATGTCATGTCGTCTAATCTTATCCAATCTGATCTAATCTCATCCTCTCATCTAATCAAATGTAATAAAAGATTAGATTGAATTAGATTACATTATCTAATCTCATCTAAATTATTTACTGTAGTGTAAATAGTAATAGAAATAGTGGTGATGTCAGGTGGTCTCTGTAAAATACTCTCATTTTCCTTCAGTATTCAGACACTAAACATGTCATTTTCTGTCCTGTATCGTACGCCCTCCTACGTGTATGTACACTGTTATATTATATGCTGTTAAATTACCATCATGCCGTGCAAGAAAACATTGCTACGAACGCCGTAGTAAAGAGTGTGATGCTACGTGAGAGAATTAGCAGTTTCAGTGTGTGTTTGCATAAGCTGGCATACACACATTTATATTAATATGTATATATGTACATACATGTGTGTGTGTGCTCGTACCAGTTTTCATATGTAATTAGGACATGTGTAAAAAGCACATTTAATGTTGATTTGTGCAGCTCCTCGGGCGATTTACCAAAGCACGCTGACTTCAAAGTACGGTCAGTCCCCAGTGGCTCCTGTTGATGCCAGGTTTACAGTGCACGCTGTGCAGATCACTCATAGTTACACACTCACTGATGATGATTTTTTTTTAAAGGAAGCATCTAGAAGAGCTAAACAAATTATTTACAGCTGAAATAAAAGGCTGACCTACATTAAATTCACAGGGGTGGGGGAATGTTTTCTTTGGCTTTTTTTATTTAAAAGCTAACGTTAGAGCCAGTCGGGACCTCACTTTTGTGTTAAATTTATTCACTGCCTCATCAAACATCTGCACAGACTCCTTTTTAAACTGTCTTACTGCCAGGGCGGGAGAAGAATTTAGCTGGAACCACTGAGGTAGAACTATATCTGACAAAACAGTCGAGTCGGTGAAACTAACCACTAGAGGGAGTTTAGCTACCACTATATATAGTATTTTCAAATCAAACATGTAAATTGTAAAATCCAACAGGGTAAGTGTGGAAATTGATTTGGGCTTCACAAATAAAGTTACTTGACACCACAGTACAAAGAATGATGTTGTTTCCAGAGTAAATGTTTTACCTAACACTACAGCCAATCATACAAATAATAATAAACAAAATGCAATAACTTTTGCTTTCATAATTTCTGTTACACTAAAAAAAAACTGAAATCAGTTCAGAAAACCAGACTGCACTAAAACCAAAGCTAATGGTGCAGAAATACTTGAAACATATTGACAAAGCCGTTGGAACCTGTTTTCCCCTTGGGCTTACTTTTGAGTTTCCCTCAAAACCCAGTGGTTTAATCAATGCTTTCCAGCCTCTGGATCAAGATGATTGCGTATGAAATGACTCATAAAAACATTGCTGTGGATGTTCAGTTTCATCATCATTCATAAAAATAGTAAAAACAATTTCTATAGAATTGTTCCCCTCTTCTCCATTTGCTTCCAACCGAGCAGTGAGTGTTTTATTCATGTGGCTTCCACTCATTATGATGTAAACTCCTTCACTCTTCATCTACCATCCAGCAGGGGGCCTACACACCACTGACACTGTTGACTCTCTCCACAGGTCACTTTCATAACAGAGGACGGCAAACCCATGGCCATCTGCCAGGTGAACGTGGAGCCCTCACCTCACGTTGTAGACCAGACCTTTCGACTTTACCACCCTGAACACTGCTTCCTGAAGAAGGCCATACGCCTGCCACCCTGGCATTACCCCACATGTGGTCCAGGTAACAGACTTTTATATTTTATTATTCATATAGTCTCATGTTATTGCACTGCTTTCCCAACGAGAGGACAATCCAACCTGCCCGTGGTGAAATATTACAACATTAGGCAGACGGTGATATAATAATGCATTGTAAATAGTTAAATCATTGTACATTTTCTTACACAATAGAGATTTGTAATAACAGAGGTGACCATTATATTTGTCACAGAAACCCTGCATTCTGTGCATTTTAGAAAATATTACTGCACTCAAAGATTACATCATAAGGTTCCTCAACATGTTTTTCATCATCCAAGACTGAGGCATGTCCTCCCAGGTCACATCTATTCTTTTGACTCTACTGGTAATGATGGGGGTCAAACATGGAAGGCCCTTTATCATTACTTCTTTGCTCCTTGGGTACAGTATATACGGGTTGCCAAGATTCCTCTTTTAAACAGGAACTATAGTCGCATATAAAACTCAATATATAACATCATATCTTCCCTCTTACTCTACATACAGTTAATCCTTCTTCCTATTTGTCTGCATCAAATTTATATCGACTTGATTTCCTGATGCTGGAAACATATTTCCAGTGAGAACATTTTCTGCCACTTTTCTTGCAATAGACAGAATTAAAGATACCCTTTGGTACAAGGAGGGGCTTCGGTACTAAAGGTTGTATGCAATCATACCAAGGACAGAGGAGGATTTAGGAAAGATCTGGTCTAACGTTTTAAATAATCATCTTGCAAAATGGAGATATTTGCTTTTAAATGGCGTGTGTTTTGGAACAAATGCCCATTTTATGACCCTCTTTGTTGCTTTGCTGTACAGTATGGTAATTGGTATCATTGTCATTAATGTTTATTTGAAATGAAAAAAATCCATTGTTGTTGTGATTTTTCTTCATGTATGAAAAAAACCAGATGAGGAGCCAGATCCACAACCCTACATCTCCGTATGCTGCAGTGACCCAAATGTCATCTGTCAGTCAAAGATGCTGGTGAGTATGTGTTCATTTTCTGAAATGTTCAGTTGCTACAAAGAATGAGACACAGTAATATTAGAATCTGTACATTTTTTCCTGTTAAGGAGTAAAAAAAAAACCCATTTCTCTCAGTCGTGTTGTGTGGCCTGCTTTGATTTACAAAAAGCTTCCTGTTACATCATGCCAACGCTCTTTTGATGTGCTAATCTTTGATACCTTTTATTTTGGCCTCTTTTTTTCTCCGTTTGCTTCTCCATTTAAACATCTGTCATCTCTTTTTCTCTCTGTGTGTGTAGGTGCCGGGGGAGCCTCAGGACGTGTACTTGAAAGTACCAGGGAGTCCCAGCCCACACGTCAAAATGTTCTTTGTGATGGTTTTCACGTATGTATAATTTTTAAAAAGACAGGTCTAAATTAGGGATGTGAGAAAGATGTTTTACCATCGAGTTTAAAAAACAAAAAACACCTTTAAAAGAACACTGCAAAGACGAGAAAAATGTCTTATCTCTGAAGACATTAGGACAACGGCACAGACACTCCTGACCAACACAGTCCTGATTGGAACTTCATTTTCAGAAACACAGACAATACGTAAATCTTTGCCTGATAGCTCATTGGCTGAAATTGAATTTAATACATTTGATATTTTACTTTTATGGGAAAAAAAGACAAAAGGCTCAGACTAAAGATGAGATTTTCCTGCAGAATAGATAATACAGCCCTCAGGGTAGATTGTAGTACAAAGCCTTGTATCTTTTAATAAAATATTATGTTTGGGATTATCCAACTTGTAGAATGATTTATAGAGCTTTTTTTCTGATTTTCTGACTTCTCTGATCACTCCAAGTCATGCTCGAGTGCATGTTGTCACACAGCTCCACTGATGACTACTTGACTCCATCACTTCCCATGTCCTGCTCTCAGAGTCACGTAGGGATGTTGAGACTAGACGCCCTGAATATCACCAACGAGAAGTTGATGATGATGAAGATGGTGTTTCCTGCTTATTAACAGTCAAGAGCAGCTCTAGATCACTCACTCACTCTCAGACCTCCTGCAGATCCTGCTGCGTCTCCAGGGGGCTTTAGTTTAACTACTGCTGATCCTGTTCTTTCTTTGTAGTGATAAGTGGATGGCCGTGCCCTCACAGACCTGGCAGATGTACGTGCACTTCCTGGAGCGGGTGGATGTGAGCTGCGTGACTGGCCAGCGGACCTGTCAGCCACTTGTGTTGAGGGGAAAGCAGAGCACTCGTAAGATCCAGTGTTTCTCCTCACACCCACAGGAGATCCAGGTGATGTTTATCTGGTTGTTGGGGACGTTCATGTCTGTTACGGTGATTAATTTGGGGCAATCAAAACTTACAGTAATCAGTATGGTTTTTTAAAAAAAAGTTTTATTCAACTTTGACCATTTTCAACTGCTAAACCGTTACAGGAAAACTAATGGCAGCAGGATGGACGAGAGCAGCCACAGCCTTCTTAGTACTAACTGTAGAGTCACTACAGAGACAGTTCCACTGTGGACTGACACAGTAATGTCTCGTGTGTTTTTGTCCGTCTCCCCAGCAGTTATCAGACCATGTTGGGTCTCAACTCTGACAAAGTTTGCGCCGTCCTGATGCTCCCTAATCATAGAGAATATATGTTCTCAGACTGTCAGATGGTTCTGTATTTTTAATAGATCATTCCTTATTCATGACTACATCCAGGATGAAGGCAGTTTGACAGTGTTTTCCACTCAGAGGAGCAATAAAAAGGCTTTTTACTGCTCATAAAAAATCTTGATTGACTGTCGCTCTGCAACATACAATGCCACCCAACCATACTTTCTGTCTAAAGGGAAAACATGTCCACATTTAGCAGCTATGCATAGGAAGCTTTGATGAGCTCAGTGTCTCAACAGAGAGAAATTTGAAAACCAAGATAAAGCTCGGAGCCCAAAAAATACCTTTCCTTTTGTCTACAAATTAAAATGGAGCTGCACTGAAAATAACATTCTCGTGTCTCTCTCACTCTTCTGCCTCCCTTCAGGTCATCTCCTCCTCCCATTATGTCAACACACTCTCCTGTCTACCTGTCCATCTACTCTTTCTGACATTCTCTCACTCTTTTTTCAGTCTTTCACTCTTTATTTTCAGTTAAGAAATGTGGATCTCTCTTTTTTGTCCATTTCTACCTCCTCTCCTGTAGATGGACCCAGAGGGAGTGTTTCTGTTGCCACCGTCATCGGTGCAGGAGCTGCAGCTGAAGGTGCAGCCGTGGCGAGTCGGCAGCCGTTTTATGTTCGTGAACGCAGTGGACACGGAGAGTCAGCAGCTGGTCAGTGCGTGGCTGGTCTGCCTCAGTGTCCATCAACCTTTGCTGTCAAAGGTAGTTACAAAACTTGGCAATGCGTGGTTTTACCCTTCAGGTCCGTGTTGTTGACAGTGAAACTCTCTATGTGTGTGTGTGTTCCCAGGCATTTGAAGTGTGTGTCCCAGTTGGCAGTGGACGTGGCAGCTCAAGAAAGATCAACTTCACCAATCCATACACCAGCCGACGCACGTTCCTGCTGCGCTCTGACCACCCTGACCTGCTCCAGTTTAAGGAGGATACATTCCAGGTGGGACAGAACAGACAAACAGGTCCCTCACTCTCATTAGGAATAAAATCAATATTTTGATCGACATAGAATCAAAAAGACAAACTGCCCTGCAGGTTCTAAGCCTACTTCCAGGAGAATGATGGAATTGATGGATTTTAAATTTCAAAACTGTTAAGAATTGTTATGTCTAAATTAATTAATACAGATAAATAATTTGTTCTAATTTATATCTAGCGTTAAAAAAAAACAAGGGTATTCCAACAGCACATTCATCATCGTCCTCCGTGTCCAAAATAACTGATGCACTGGTGAGACAGGAGTCGCCGCCTTCATTGACATTCATGTGTCAAGGAGTGATAAAATGGCAGGACAGTCGATGGGAGTCAGCGTTTTAAATTAACAAACAAATGAATTGGGATGCAGTGGGAGTCTTATATCCACATCGACTATTAAAAAGTCTCAGTGCTGCCCTCCACACCTCACTGCATCACTTAGGGAGCGGGAGGAAGGGAGAGTGAAAACGGCTCTTTGTCTTTCTTCCCATCCTGTCAGCCAGACTCCAGGTGTCTTATAAAGAATTTATTGCACCTGAAGCATTAAGCAAATGTGAAGACACTTCTCTCTGTGACATAACTACCCTGCCATGATAAAGGCAGCCGTCAGGAGGGGAAGCAAAGCAAAGATCAATACGGCCACGCTTTTGGGGAAGATTACAACATAAATCCCTAAAATTGACCCATATATCCATTCTTGGTTATTACCTGAAAATACAAGCAGACAGCGGGCTAACTGATTAAGTAGTGGGAGAGGAGAATGACCGAATAAATAAATTTTACACACTGTGACCTCTTGGCAAGAAAAAGAGCAGCATGTGCATCTGGAGTGTGGAGAAAAGGTCACTCAGCAGGAGCAGTAACTCAAAACTTTTCAAAATTCAAGATTGAAACAACAGACCTGCAGTGATAAATGTCCCTAGGTTGTATTAGATGAGAGCCACAGTGGGGTTGTTGACTGCTCATTAGACTGGACGTGTGTTTATTACCATAAAACATTTGTTGTTGTCAACAAACTTTTCTGAAGAATTACAAATTATGTGTCAGTACAAACAAATATAAAGACTAATGATTCAGATTCAGATTCAGATTCATATATACATATATATATATATATATATATATATATGTATATATATATATATATATATATATATATATACACACACACTCTGTTTCTCAGGTCTTG